TGCTGTTATTTCTGCATGGCAACATTCTCAGGTGCATTCAAAGTATAATGTGGAAGCTAAGAAAAAACATTTTAAGCAATTACAGTTATTAGATTAAATTGTTTTGATAGAGAAATTGTGATGCGTTTAGATCACTGTGAGATAATTTAGTGTTTTCATAAATATGCTTTTTAAATGCATTATATTGCAGCAGTTACACTCCAGTGAGATTTTAGTGTAAAATAAAGATAACATATGTATTTCCATATGGCAGTGAACTAATTTAGTCCTGTAAATTTCTACAACATATTTTTTCCTGGTAGAAGCCCTGTACTAAATCAGCAGTAGTTATAAAATCCAGTAATCGTATCATGCTATTTACTGCAATCATGTGGCATTGCTTTGTGTCTGTGCTCAGATGTGTGTATCATAGCAGTGTCTGAAGCACATATTAACAATCTTACAATAAAGACAAAAGTAGTAATTGCAATACAATTATTATTTTTATGGATGAACTTGTTTAAGAGCTCTGTTGACATTTACAGACTTTGAGGATCATGCAGCATTTGTTACAGTTATCCCAAGCATCAAACATCAACAAAATGTTGAAGATTGTAGGATTAAGCAGTGACAGATTGAGGCCAGATGTGTGGGAGATACTGTAAGTGGCCTTCTCAGTTGATCAAATAGCTTTTACCATCCTAAAGCCCTTTGGAAATTCAATATTTGTTCTTTGTAGTTGAAGCTGGGACACTTCTGGGATTGGTGGATCTTCCTGGAGGTTATTTGAAAAGGAGAATGAGCACCCCATTTATTCAGAAGTAGTTTTATTTGGTGTATGTATAAATATAAATACACTCCAAGTACCAAGGGTAGGTGGAAGGGTTAAAAGTGCTGATATCATTGAAGACCAAGAATTACCTTACGAAGTCATTCTAAGATTCCCCAGCAACCCAGTTGAAGTTATCTTACCCTTGTACAACTGTACAGGTGAGACACTTCCACTTTGAGGAAGCTGAGTCTCAGCAGTGCTGTCTCCACATGTGGACTTGTAAGGAAGAGCTGCAAGGGACACAGTCAGCAGATCCAGCAAGAAATAACAGAGCTGAAATCAGTTTTCCTGGAGTCCTTTAAAGTGGAGACCTTTCTACAGCTCTGAGTGGATTCTCTCAGCCCCATGCTTGTCAGATCTTTTCACCAACTTGTTTTCTCCTTCCCTCTCAGGCCTTTCACCTTTCATAGAATCATGGAATGGTTTGGGTTGGAAGGGACCTTAAAGATCATCTAGTTCCAACCCCTCTGCCATGGGCAGGGACACCTTCCACTAGATCAGATTGCTCAAAGCTTCATCCAGCCTGGCCTTGAACACTTTGTGCATCACCTTCCCCTCTTCTCATCACTTGTCAGCGAGGTTCTTGCCCTCCTCTCATTTTCCATTGATTTTCTTCCCGTTTAGCCAACTCTGCCTTTAGCAACCCTGGCTCCTTGAAAACACGGGCACTGGAGTTCTAGCATTCTCTTTGCTGGTGTATTCTCCCACCTTATGCGTTTAGACTGAACTTATCATAGCATTGTGACTGTCCCACTGTATATTATCCAGCTTAATGGAGCTGGATAATGTAAATAATATAAATTAGGAAATAATAATGTAAGTAAGAAAAGCCCTTAAAGTCCAGGCATGTGTGGCAATTGAGGAACTTTACTGCTGAAGTCATTAGACCTTTGGATTGTGTGTTAGTACCAAAAAAGGCTGTTGACCACAGTAAAAGTATAATAAACCTCTATTTGAGTGTTGCTACTTATATTGTAACTCTGAGCATTTATAGTAGGGCCTGTTCCTTCTCTTCCTGAAGTCCCGATCCAGCATCCAGCAAACTCTTGAACATATGTGCTTTCATGTGTTTTAAATTAAGTTTGTGTTTAGATGTTTTAGGACATTTGCCATTGGAATTTTTGCTACTGACATCAATGAGAATGGAGCTGGACCTTTAATTAGTTTGGATTATTCTGCATATTTTCCTACTTTGCATTAGGCCATAGATATGGAGCTGAAGACTGGTAATCCGTTAGAAAAACATTCTGAGGGTCAAAATCCTGCATTCGTGACTGAATAGCTGAGAAATTACTTCTGTGACCTAACAGGTCTAACAGGCCTGAGACAATACAGAGACAAGAAGGATCAGGTTGTGGAGTGTCAGAGCAGCAATTGTGGTGCCAACAGGGTATAAAGTGTCCCAAGGACCCAGTAACAAGGGACGTTGCTATAGAATGTCCTTCTGGGTTAGGTTTTTTGATGCCTATATGGAGAATCAGAAACTCCTTTAGAGAGTGGAGTACGTAGAAAGGACTTGTGACGGAGAGAGTCTGCTCAGGTAGAGGGGAAGTAATGACACAGTCAGGGGGACAGCATGAACAATTGAAGGGAAAAGAGACAGTCTGCTCAGGTAGAGGGGAAGGAATGGCACACTCAGGGGGACAGCATGAACAATTGAAGGGAAAAGCTTGGTCTTGCTGCTCGTCTGGGATTTGGGTGATTTGAATTCTGGGATTCCAGATTTGGGTGAAAAAAATAATTTTATAGACTCTGGATCTGATTCTTACCCTTCCTTGGGGTTATATATTGGTGAGTAAAACTGAGAAGAGCTAGTCTACTGAACTGAAAATTAAAATATATTAGTTCAAAGGGGATGATATGACACTGTGGACACAACACTAATCAAAGGAGACTGAAGAAAGGTAGTGAGAAGAGAGAAGAGAAGGAGGAGAAGAAGTTGGGCAACAAAGTGGAAACAAGAGATCTTTTGGACCTCAGACCATTAACTCAATTTGCCAGAGACTGGCTTTATGGAATGTCTTATGAGAACTATGGGTTTGCCAAAGTCTGCTTTATTTTTCATGGACTTCAGCATATTTGTACATTTGAGATTGCTTCGTTCTGAATCCTTGCCAGATTTTTAGTGGTGATTAAGAAGAAAGTTTGTTTCTTTTTAAGCCTTGGTGGCTTGGTCATTTTCAAAACTCCCCCGCCTCCCTGCACCAGCTCAAGCGTTCTGAGGGGAGTTGTAGCCAAAAAACAAACTTCTGAAGCTATAGGCTATATGTCTCCAGGTGACTTTGTGGATCTATCATGATAGTTGTGATGGAGAAAGATGGAAAGATACACATATCAGATCATTGTCTGCACACATAGACCCAAATATGCCATTCAGAGAGATTAAGTATGTGTCCCAGGCAGTGAAATATTTAGGGTAGTAAAAGCCATAGTGATCCTTTCATGTATGAGTGGCTGGGAAGGCAGAAATTTGCAGTCTGCCAGGAAACCCTGTGTGTGGGTGCCTGTGTGTTGGAGGGCATTGCTGTGCTTAATTTGTAGTGTGTGGCACCGATATGCATCCAAAGGCAGAACGCATCCTGCAAAACGAAGTGCTAGCTAGAGAATCCAGATCACTTTGTTCACTGTGTTGAGATGTTTAAAAAACACTGGTCTGAGCAGGATGTGATGGACCATTGTCCATCAGTAGTTTAAATTGCCTTTGTTCAGGCATCAGGAGATCAAGTGCCTTTAGTTTACAGGGTCTTCTAGTCTCCATCTGCATCTGCTTTCCCTTCCCATCCCTCTGCCTGCAGTGCTGGATGCAGCAGATGAGTCAGAAGTTTGCACACACCAATGTACGTGGGACGTGTGCCTAACAAATAGAATGTGACAGGGATTGGCAAGACTGTAATTTCTGTGATGCCATCTGAGGAACCACAGGTAGTGAATGGAAAGCTGCTGGACAAAATTCTGACTCAGCAGAAGGAAGTGACAAAGCACTCACTAATTTTATGAGGATCAGGATTTCACTCTTTATGAGCAAGAATCGTACAAAAAAATCTGGCTTCCAGAAATAGTGGTTTTAAGACACACTTAACCTTCTTTCAGAATTGTTATTAGTGTTGATGTGAAGGTGAATTGGGTTGTGTTTCTCACATACATTCTTTGACATCTGGAATCATAGAGGAGCCTGGGTTTTACCTGTATAGAGGCACTAGAAGACCTGCAGTGCCATGAAGCTGCCATGCAGAGCGGGCAAAGTATATGCACACAACCACTCGTGAATGTGTGTGCCTAGAACTATCTGTGCACATGTGTAAGTATCTGAGTGCACATTATGGGTTTGCTGGTACACGAACGTGCATACGCATGTATTTGTGCTCGCCTGAGCCAGTTCCCAAAGCTCGTGCTGGAGACAGTCCCTCTGCTGCAGTCGCCGGTTGTCTGCAACACGAAAACTTACCAGTGAGCAATGCAAAATACCCTTCGCTTGGCCTAGTAGCTGGAAATTTTAATTATTTATTTATTCAGATTTAATTTGAAACAGTGACTTTTGTTATGAATTCTATACAGTGTTTTATTACTGAGTTCCCTAACGAAACGGGTGCTTAAGAAGACAGAATTGCTCAGGTTACTGGCTGTATAAATGCTGAGAACAGATCTGAATGATACGGCTAGTAAAGAAAAGGGTGCAGAATAACAGCAGAGTTCCTTTGGATTGATCTTCAAATGGATCAGGTCTTCTTGTAATAGCCCGTGCTCATCTGCTCCACTGTATAGGATTTCGGACATCTGAAACCAGGTTCTTACCCGCCACAAATAGCTTCTCTTGCTTTCTGTCTGTAGCAGCTAATTGTTATTGCCCTCAGTGGTTCCTGTGCCAATTAACATCTAAGAGAACTTAGCAAAACACTTGTTCTTTCTTTAAATTTTCTGTTCTGACACCATGTCTTTAAGCGTTCAGTACTTCAGACAGAATGTGTGAGATATTTATAACCCTTGTATTATTATTGAGCTACACACCATGTCTTCAGTGACAGATTAAATGAACAGCACAAAATGTTGAGTTTCATTTATAAATTTCAACAGATGTTTGAATGTTGGTTGATTTATTGCATGTCCAACTTGGATCTTACACTGTTCTCATTGTGGCTGCGCATGGTTTATTTAATAGTACTTTACAACGATTTTTTATGACATTTTTCAGTTTGAAGGGTGCAACAAGGCATTTTCTAGGCTTGAGAACCTTAAGATTCACCTCCGGAGTCATACTGGGGAGAAGCCATACCTGTGTCAGCATCCTGGCTGCCAGAAAGCTTTCAGCAACTCCAGCGACCGGGCAAAGCATCAGCGAACACACCTGGATACCGTAAGCATGATTTCACACTGGGAGTTGCACTGAGTTTTCCAATGGTCCTTGTACCCAATCTGTTCTGCAACTGGAGGGTGACTTCTCCTTTTCATGAGGAGCGTCTTAGAAAGCTCAGCTATAAGCAACTGTACTTTTGTTTTGAATTGCAATTGCTTTGAGAAATTAAAAGTCTTCATCACAGAAAGGCAGATTCAACTGTCTTACTCATGCTGAGAAATAAGCCACTCAGGAATAGGTTACTCAGGAATAAGTTACTCAGCAAACTCTCCCATTGTTCTCATTCCAGTAAGAGGAGGCAACAGTAGAATAAGGTATAGTATGAGTGAAAGCTGAGTCATTGCTGCTGTACTAAATGTGTGTCATTGTCTCGCTGCCTATCCTGTGTTCCTTCAGTAAAGTCTGTTCTGAGTGAATGCAAAAGCAGTTCAGACGTCTCAGTGGAAGATAAATTCCTCTCAGTTTTGGAGGTAATTTTGTAAAGGTGAAAATACATCCGTCTTGTAACTATATGAAATCTCTTAAGTACCCACCACCAGAATTAACTGTAAGAAACATTCATTTCTCATGTACAGTCGGTAGGTTCTGTCTCAACTCTACAAGTCTTCTCACTTGTCTTGCAGAGAAGATGGGAGCCTGTCTACTGTCTTAGGCTCCAGTAAAATTAAGTCACCATATTATGGGGGAAGAAAGTAAGTAGACAACTTTGTACACCAGTTAAGTCCTCAGCATACAGCTTGTAAAGAATAATGGGCAGAGTTGTTCCTTTGTCTTTTTCAAAGAAGTGAATATATGGTTTAACGTTTGTACAAGTATTTATGGGGCAGAACTTTTGAGTTTAATTGATATTTACTTTTTAAGCAGTTACACATTTCAGACAGTGCAGCATTAAGGAATGTCTAATGTACATTATGCCTTGCAAAAACAAACAAGTAAGAGAAGCGAGTCAGTCACATTTTCCAAACCAAAGCACACTTACAATAACAATGTTTTATTTATTCGAAACTCAACCTGAGATATTTGAATTTGTAATTAGTTCTAAAATGCGTCTTTTTTGAAAGTGGATATGCTAAATTAGGAGCATGATTTTGAAATTTAGCTGCTTGAATCTAATAGATATATTTTATTAGCTAAAGTCACAAATGGAATGCCATTTAGTAGTTTTGGAAGATAATTCAAACAGTTGACAAAATGAGCAAAAATTCTTATATCTGTTGATCTGTGCATTATTGAAGACAAATCTCTTAACTTTCTATTTTCTTCTCTCTTTATATCTCTTTATTCTCTGAAATGCTCATAAATCAGGATAAAGGTACAGTAATCATTTTCTACTAACTTTCTTAAACGTCTAAAAATATCCTCCATGCTATTCTTTTGCAGGTTCTTGTTTCTGTAGTCCTACACCATAGTAACTGACTTCCATGTACCTGGTTTAATTGAAGTCCTGTGGTTTAGCTTAGTGCATTGTGTGCTCATGTGAATGTGAAAAATGGCAGAGCTACAGGATGGTGCTGCCGTGAAGACTGCACATTGCATTCGCTCGGTGGACAAAATAACCGCCTGGAATGTCAACCTCGATAGCCATGAACCTTTTTAAGTCAGATTTTCATCTAGTTTCCCTATCACTCAGTTGAATGATTCTATCACTAATTTGAATGACATAAATGATTTGAAAAATACTCTGCTAAGTTTTCTGTTAAGGAATTTGTTAAAGTTTTCCATAGTTTTTCTTCAGGTGTCAGTTCTCTGTATTCCAGACACTCTCAATAAATTGCTTTGCCCTGTAACTTTCTGGGTAGGTGCTGCGTTAGCCTTTAAGGTCATGAATTGGTGAATGATTCTATTATTCCTTCAGAAATTCCCTGCTGGCTGGACAGAGCAGCAATACTTGTCCTCTGGAGGTACTTACAAAGAAAAGGGGTTTATATAAACTGCTTATTCCTTATTAAGTGCATTTGGAATTGGTTTTAAAGCTTCTCAATGTAGGTCACTCCATCATTTATCTTCTCCAAAAGGAGAATCTGTAAATCATTTCAGAGACTTACTGGTGTATGCTAGTTTGATCAAATCTCTACTAAATCATCTGGAAGTAGATCCTTCTCCTAGGCAGAAGCAGAATAAAGGGAACGTACCTGTCCTTGTGGTAAAAAGGGCATGTCATCACTCCTCCAGGAGTAGCGCAACTTGTTTAAAGGACCTCACAGTCACTTCTCCCAAAACTGGTGGGCTTTTTTCTCTTTTGTGCATCCTCTTTCTGAAACCAAGGGGATTAAACAATGTGACACTGAGGTCATGACAAACCAGTTTTCTGCCTTTGGGAAGACACCAAAAGGACTTACTAGTCCAAGTGAGAAGGCTAAGGTAATGTTGACTGATGAGGCAAGAAAACAAAGAAAAAAGGAATGTTCCATTCAACTTTAAAACTTTGTGAGCTTTGACATGCAGCACTGTTTTGCTATCACCTAAGTCAATGGTTACTTAATAACAACTGCCAGAGGCCCTTTGTTCAGCTTGATAATTGCACGTTCATTTGGAGGTTGTACTGTTACAGAGAGAGACAGTGTTTCATTTGTTGGGAGTGAACTTGGTGAGGCTTTCAGTCATTGGGACTCCAGAATCAACGGTTCAATTGGAGCATCCTTATTTATTTTTTTATTTTCCTATGAGAAGGGTGTGCTGGAACTGCCTGCTCAGACCCGGCTGGTTTTCTCAGAAGACAGTGCTCATACTGTGCCACATAAAAGTGGCAAGCTCTGCTGCATGCCAAAATCAGCTAGAAAGGTCTTCCCAGCAAAATCAACAATAGTGGATTTTTCTTTCTGTATTGATTTGCTCAGATGTTAATGTTTGATGCATGTTGTTTGGTTAGGAGTTATAAAAAGAAAGCCCTTGCTGTTGTTATTCTAAACAGGAACAAGGTATGAAGGAAACCAAATGTGTGCTATGCCACAAGTTTTGCTCTGCTGCATATGGAACAGTTGTAAAAACGATGTAAATCAGAACTCAAAACCAGAGCTTCTATGTTTATAATTATACTGGGTGATCTCATGAGCATTTTGTCTACTTGTAAAGGCTAGAAAAAAAAGTAATGCTCTCAAAACCCATCCAGTTACATCTCATTAGCATTTAATTCAGCCCAGTAATCGGTATCCAACACGCCGGAGTATAGATGTGTCACGTGCTTGCATGGAGTGCAGAACCAGAGCCATCAGTGCAGTTCTTGTTTGCATCATGTCTGGCTTGTGTACATAGAGGAGACGGAGCAAATCTGGAAACAGCAAACAGAGCGAACAGCTCCGGCTTAACACTGTGTTTCACAAAATCCCCAGTGCTCTGTATGCTGATGGGAGAGATGCAGAGGAATATGAAATCTTTTCCCTTTCCTCACATTTACAGAAACCCTATGCCTGTCAGATTCCTGGCTGCTCCAAACGCTACACTGACCCCAGCTCTCTGCGCAAACATGTGAAAGCTCATTCAGCCAAAGAACAACAGGTGCGTAAGAAGGTAAGACCCGCTAGGCAAAAAGTGTCACATCTCCAGATCTCCTCGATATAGTTATTTTCAATTTACCTTTAGTTTATGTATTTTTAAATCAGACTTATTCTGCAATATCACTAGAAGGAAACTTAAGTTGAGCTAATTTTCCTGTTGGTTTTTAATCATTATTGTTAACCAGTCCACTTTGTAGTTTTAAATTTCTAAGGCTACCACTCTGTAACTTCAGTTTGCCCCACACTTTCTCTCCAAGTATTTCTTTTCTGTTCATCTTTCATACAGAAGCCCAAATTCTGTTGTCATTCACCTAAAATGTCTGTGCATTGAGTCTCTGCAATCAGTTAGTAAATACACATTGGCAGATCATCTAACATAAAAATGAAACTAAGCCAGGATACTATGGAAATGTTGGGAAAGGAGCACTTGTAATAGATGAGAGTGAAAAGCCTCCAATTTTCCTACCACATCTGTATTCTAAATGCATTTATAAATCATTCCAAACCCAGACTGCTAGTTAAGTTTTCACTACTATTAGATTCAAATAAGCATTTTGGTTTTTGTGGGCTAAATCCTGAACTCATTATTAAATGGGGATGCTTACGGGCACCAGCCCAGTATCAGAGACTTGTTTATTACACATTTGTACACATATTTTGTAAAAAGATGATTGGGACCCCGCAGAGCTGGTGTGTGACAGAGCAGGCCATGAGCATACGCAGGCCCGGGAGCAGAAGGGAATGCAAGCCTTAGCAGCAATTACAATTAGCTCAATAAGCAGCAATGACGTCTTCCACCAGCTGCCTCACCACTGTCAAGAGCATCGTGGATGAGAGACAGCAAGGCATGTTTAAAGGATGGAGGGCAGAGCAGAAATGACAGCCTGGCAAGATAGAGCTAGGGATCTAGTTTGGAAAAATGTCAAAGGTAGAACTATAAGTACTGGAGAGCAAAGAGAGGAACATGTAGAGAGAAGAGATGATAGCAGAACCCAGGTGATCTTAGTTGCAGAATTTGGGATGAGCCATGGAGGACTGAAATGGATGTCAAAAAGGACTAATTTTCCTGCTTGAATACAACTGTGATGAGTTCATCCTGATTTGTCCTTGTGTCAGCCATGCCTCTTGTCTCACATCCCTTTCCTCCTGCTACTTCTCAGCATGAATTATATCCCCTACATTTTTCACTTGGCTAGATTCACCAATCTGAACTTATGGTTGCCTTTCCTAGGACAATTGCCTGTCCCCCAATTCTTCCTGTAACCCTTCTCTGTGACAGGTGCATGCTGCCTGAGAAACAGTTTCTAGAACATCAGTGCCCAGAGTTGTGCATGCTATTTCAAATAGTCAAGAAACACTCATTACATGTGGACCTTTGTGCCTGGGAGTAACACCGTTCATGCCTAGCACTCATCCAGAGGTCCACAGAATCAAGCCCTTGTCTCTGCATATACCAGGTCCAGTGAGAACTCTTATTTAGCCTGGCAGGACTGGGAAGCACCGCCTAATTTTCAAGCCCAATTTTGTGTTATCACACCATGTGGTTTCACTACAGCTCTTTAGAGAGCTTCTTTAGAAGGTTCCACAGGGTGTGCTATGCACATGCCTCACACACCACAGGTCACAAAATTCCCAGCACTTGCCTAGAGCAACCTTTAGGTCATAATGAGAGTAAGAGTCAGAAAGCCATAGCAGTAATTGGCCACAGAAGGAGGTTGACTGTGTCACCAAAGTCTTTTGCAATAGCAAAGATCTTTGTGACAGGAAGATTTTGTTAATGAAATCCTCAGCTGACTGCAGAAAGCAACCATGCTCCCTATTCCAAAAGAGTGAACCTCTCCATCTTTCCTTCCTGTGGTTGCTGACATACTTCTTGGGGGAAGGAAGAAGAGAATTACTTACTAATACCAAACACAAGTATCATTTGTTCAGCTCTGTGTACTGGGCGGAATGTATTAACATGTGAACATCCCTTCCATCTGGACAAAGGAACAGTCCCCACTGTTATACCCTGTCATCGGCTGAGGCCCATTTCCAGTTCTACAGAGGAAGGTGGAGAAAAAACCTAAATCCAAACTTTGCATGAAGGGGCACAAAGTACTTCCCGCATAAGCAGCAAGAGACCTTACGCATAGAATCAATACAGGACAAATACAGTGCACACAGATTGCAAACTCAAACTGCCTGGGTGTACCAAGACGTCAAATATCCAGGGTTTCATATCTCTTAATCTCCTAGGTTGAGGAATTTTCCTGCATGCATATACATACCCACCCATAGACTTATCAACTCTATCTTAAAATAACGTTAGTTCCCTGCCTCCCACACCTTATTTGGTACACCAATCTAAATCTGCACTCCTCCAGTGGTTTGAAATTATCTTCAGATTTCCTGTCTCATTTATCCACAATAACTTTATGAATATTTCATCTTGTGTCTTTTTTTCTTGAACTTAAAAGGCATCTGAAAGGCAGCAGATTTAAAGTGCATTTTGATCAGGCTGTCTTAAAAGGGACCAAAGCAAATCTTACTCATAAACTAATAATAAAACCCCTCAAATATTTCACTTAAACATATTATAGGAAAAAAACCCCAACCCTTTCTCAACTAAGTAATTCTGAGTGTTATTGAAACAGTGACAGTCTACGTTGGAAAAAAGGGGAAAAGACTGTTTATACTCACTTGCTCATTTTTGGTTATAACTCAGCAAAGGCAGTTGTCCATCAGTATCAGCTTCCCAGGAGTTCTGAGTTGAAATGATTTAGCCAAGAAAGAAAAATTAACAGACTACTTTGCCCACGTGTCTTGGTTGAGATATGCTACCAAAATGTGCCATCTCTGATATAAAATAAAATGCCTGTGCTTAGACTTACATCAAAGGAATCGTGAGTATTTAGTTCATAGCCTAGAGGATGACTGCAGTGGTAATATTTGGTTGTTCTGAAAGGCTTAACAAAAACGAAACAGGAGAAAGTTAGCTGTTAATTTAGTAGTAGTTTAATTATCTGCAGATGCACTTTGTGATCCAAATGTTAGATGTTTATCTTGAACCAACAAATGGCTGTGTAGCAGAATTCCAAATAGGTTTGCCTGGACCTTTTATTTAGAATAACCAAACCCAGGAGAGATCAGTATGCAAAGCTGTAAACGTAAAGACAATAACTATGTATTAATGGCTATAGAATATGATGGCTGTTTGTGTAATGTGAGCACTATATTATGGCAACAGCTTGGCAACATCAGCGTGCTTGAAAGAGAATTAGAAATGCTTTTCTTTCTTAATTCTCCTCTCCTGCTGTTTTTAATATGATCGACATTGTGGTTTTCAAGAGTTTGCTTCAGATACTTTTGCCAGAGCTTTAATTTACATGGAGAACAGCTGACATATCGGTGGTACCTCTTACATATTACTGACAGCACATTATTCCACCAGTTCTAATCTGATAAGCACAAATGCTTTTTTTCCCTATCAAATGTCTTTCCAAGTGTCACAGCTACAAGGTGATGCAATCCTCTTGCCACAGAACCCAAGAAACTACGGAAAGCCTGAAAATATGCAGTTAAATTAGGAAGGAAGGTTTGAAGAAACACAGGGTACATTATTTTCTGAAGCAAACTGTTGTTGATTTAAGATTAGCACACTTAACTAGTGCACTTAAGAAAACCAAAATTGTCTCTAATTAAAAATACCAAGTAATAGATACATCCTTAATTACACCAAGTTCCTAAGAATGACATTTTGTTCCTTCTTTCTATACATAATCTTTAAGCAAAGAGACACATGAATTTAATTAGAAGGCATTTGGTTTACTTTGAAATAAATGTTTGTTTTATCCTCCTCTTGTAGCTAAATTCTTGCACTGATATCGAACAAGATGTACTAAGTGAATGCTTAGCTATACAACAACTCCACACATCTTCACAACATATTTTGGATGGGAAATGTGGTAGATCTGTAGGTCATCATGATTTAATTACAGGTAAGACTACTTCTAATAAATACAATGCTAAATATGTTATTTAATGCAAGATTTAAACCAGAAAAGTTTATGGGTCTGGTTTTCCACCATGAAAGATGAAAAAAAAATCAAACCAAAAAATAAAATGAAATTATTTTGTGAGTTGTTTGCTAAGGCCTAACTTTTTTTTTCCCCAGTCAGCCAAATAGCTCCTATTAATTTCACATGAAGGGGGCAGCAGCGCTGCTGAAAGTCAGCCTCTGTCCATTTGTTCTCTTTTAAAATATGTGCCTTGGCTTCAGCAGAGTGCAGGTGCGTGGCTTTGCTACAGCCAACTGAGTGCTCCTGCAAGGACAGAGGCGCCCAGCAATAAGGTCTTCCAGCTCTTCAGGAGCTGCAGAAAAGTTGACGAGGCTGTGTATTATCATCAGTGCGTGATTATAACAAATAAAATGGTGATGTATGAATGGAGCAAAAGCCTGAATTCAAAATGTCAAACATGTTGGTTTAATTATCTTTTCTAGTATTTAATCTTTCTTTCATTCCTTTTTGTCTGTTTTGTCTGTCTTTTTTGTGGTTTGAAAAAGAGCTGGCCCCTTTCGGGGACCTTAGACTGTTCTGTACATTTTATAGGAAGAGAAAAGGATGCTTCCATTCCCTTCTGCTGAAAATAAGATCTAGATTCACAACTTTTGAACCTCAGCAGAGGCTCCTGAATCAAGGATGTAGCAATCTCAGGTTCTTTGTTTAGCCAGCAGAGAAAAAGAGGAACTCTCAAGGCCATCAGTCTAATTGTAATCTGCCTCACTCTATGAAGGCACATGTATCCCTCTGTTGATTCTAGAGATTAGAGGGAGGAACCTTTCACTTAGCTGTTTTCACTCTGAAATCTCTTTTCTGTCCATGTAATTATTTAGCCCTTTTTCTAATTTTCATACTTATTTTACTATGGCTTCAGCAACATCATGTATCAGTGAGTTGCATGCCCACACTTTTTTGAAAAAATACTTTCCTTGGTTAATTTGGCTTGTGCAACTTTCAGATGATGTTCGATGAGAAGAATATACACATAGGCTCTTACTTGGTGTGCTTTGGTGGAACCTACTTTTGGAGAACCGTTCATGTTACTGCCTTTCAAACTTCTCTAACTCTATAACATCCATTTTGGGATGGGATAACCAATATTAAGCACAAAATTCCAGATTACACCATTCATTCGATTTAAAAGCCATCATTGTCACGTTTTCTTGTGTCGTTCTATGTCATGTTCCAGATGCATCCCAATATCTTACTCGTTTTTTTTAATGGCAGCTGCGATTAGAAGTGGGATGAATATATGGCAACATTTTATATCTAGCACTGTGCATGGTCTGGAGAGAATCTCCTGGAAAAAGATGTAACAGATATTAATCACTTTTTTGTTCTATAATTGTTTAAATAATAATGCATACTAAACCCAGGTTTGGACAGACCATTCCTAATTTTGGGGCAGGAATCTGGAGTCTGGTATACTGCGTGCTATGCCTAAGAGTGGAGGACAGTTTGAATCACAGAATAGTTTGGGTGGAGGGGACCCTTAAAGGTCATCTAGTCCAATCCTCCTGCAATAAGCAGATACATCTTCAACTAGATCAGGTTGCTCAAAGCCCTGTCCAACCTGACCTTGAACGTTTCCAGGGATGGGACATCTACCACCTCTCTGGGCAACCTGTTCCAGTGTTTCAGCACCCTCATCATAAAAAAATTTATTCCTTATATCTAGTCTAAATCTGCCTTCCTTTAGTTTAAAACCATTACCCCTTGTCGTATTGCTACAGGCCCTATTAAAAAGTCTGTCCCCATCTTTCTTATAAGCCCCCTTTAAGTATTGAAAGGCTGCTAGAAGGTCTCCGTAGAGCCTTCTCTTCTGCAGACTGAACAATCCCAACTCTCTCAGCCTTTCCTTATAGGAGGAAGTCTTCAGGTTGCAGAGCAGAGCCAAGGTGAGACACAAAAAGGCAGGGATGCCATTTTTGAAGACTTTACTTTCAAACTTGGTCAATACTAGAAAATGTTCAGTGCTATTAAAATCCAAAATTATTCATAAAATGATTTCACTTAGAGCTAAATTATCTTGATTTAAGATGCACTTTATCCTCTTTCAGTTCCACTGTGGAGAAGAGGCTTGACTTGGTATTACTAAGTATGTTTTAAATTGATTCAGTAACTGAGTACAAGCTTTCCAGAAAAACTCTACCCTTCTTCTGTTGAGGCTTAGAGAAATCCAGTGGTAAACTGGGATTAGAAAACAAAAATGCCTGGTGCTAGTTCCGCTGCATCATGGGAAGAGCTGATGCACTTTATTAATATATTTTACTTTGGAAGAGCAAAGTAACAAATTACTAAAAATTATTCAGGCAAGAATCTCCTGCTTTTTTTCTCACTCCACATCTTAAAATTACAACCAAAAAATGCGTCCTGCTTGACATTTCCTATTCTCCTTTCTAGTTCAAGTTGCACTGAACTTTTGGAATGTAACTGGTGAACAGAATGGAGTAGAAAGGGAAATAACCCATCATTCTAACGTTGTTCCCCTGGGAGTCTGCACTCATGGTTTATATATGGCTCCTCAAAAAGTGGCAGAAAGCTGGAGGGACTTGGGGGGATTATTTCCATTCTCTTTCTTTGTCATCTGCACTCTTAAGATCTGTGAGGGCAGCACGTGGCCTCTGCTCTCCACCCTTGACAGTCCAGCATAGCTGAAGCATGGCTTAGCCTCTTGCTTCCAGGCAGGACAGGAAAGACCAGTGATGTTTCCCTCTGAACAGGCTGCATTTAAGAACCTCAGAAATTTCAAGTGACAACAATAAAACAGGAAAAAAGTTACTAGCTTACAGATAAACAGACCATCCCTAGCCTCTCAGTGTCATTTCCGAGAACCTCTTGTGAAGTTAAGGAATTTATCTGTCAATAGTACTGTCCTTCTCTGATGTGATTTCTTTGCTGATTATATCAATCCATCACCAGGATGTTGTAAAAAAACTAGTAAATCTTCCCTGATACTTCCATCAGGTCACCCCATATGAGACCCCATCACATGCATAGTGTGAAAAGTGCCAGGGAAAATAAATCAAGGTTTGAAAGACTGTTTTACAGTGAAACAGAAGTTGCTTCATACTATGTGTAGTACAGTTCCATAGGCAAAACTGTTCCTATGTCGTTATTTAGGGAACGTAAACTAAAGTGCTGATCATTACAGAATTAAA